TCCATTAACATATCAATATGAAATCTTCATAGTTTTCCTTAAACTATCACCTGTGAGCACATGATTTGAAATAACTTTGCCTAAAACTCATTTAAGTGGGCAAGAAACAGTGAAATGGCAAACTCCTAACAGTTTTGGAACATATGTAGGAGATGAGCACTGAGTAGTGTGGGATCCAGTGTTGTGCAATCAAACATAGAGCAAATCACCTTTGTAGAGTGAGGGAAAGTTTGGCTGAGGAGAATGCAAGGCCATAAACATTGCTTACAGAGTTATGAATGTGGGGTACCTTGATTGTAAAATGAGTTAGAATTACTACAAAGTCATGCAAAGCATAACGATGTTTCAGTCAATGAAGTACTGGATAAACAATGGTGGTCCCATAAGATTCGTACCACATAGCCTAGGTATGCAGTAGGCTATACCATCTAGGTTTGTGTGTGTAAATACACACTGTGATGTTCACACAATGACAAAATCGCCTGACGACACATTTCTCAGCACATATCCCCATAGTTAAGTGATGCATGACTGTACTGCATTCATAATTGCTGTGACAGAAAGCAAGGCTCAAGTGAAATGGAAATTAATGTTAAGCATGTATTGGATTATGTATTATTAGTCAACACATATTTCTTGATCACATATTATGTACAATAGTTAGGATCAGTAAAATAGTTAGGAAGTGAATAAAATGAACATGGACACTAAATTTAAGAAACTTACATCAATTGAAGGACATCTTAAGTAAAACCAGAAGACTATGTTGTCACCAGTGTAAATTTCTGAATATTGCTAAAACCAAGAATATCTCAAATTCCTCCACCAAGGAGAACTATTTATATGTGAATCCTTTCCCTAATGGAAGCCTAATGCCATAATAAACCTCTCAAAAGAATATTTCTCACGATTTAATTTTAAATCCAAATTCAGAGTTTATGGGCTCCAAGCAACCTGCACAGACCGACTGGCATCCCGATAGGGGTGACATCAAGATTTTCTCCTTTCTCTCACATTTCTCTGTCTATGCTCCTACCCTCCAGAACCACTAGGTCTCTCACATAGTTTTTGGTTGTAATAGCAATTGGGTTGAAATTAAATCATGTACTGTGTCCTGAAAATATTCTTTTGCTTGGGATATTGGTATATGGCTGGGCTTTGTTTTAGTTTTTAATATTTTAGGCATTGGGCTGATTTTGTGAAAATGATCTATTACCACTTGAGAAAGTGGACACTAATTAAGAGCTTTTGTGTTGGAGCAATTCAAACTGGAAGTACTGCGGGAGCGTCATCCCATTGCAAGGAGAGAGACCAGAAATGAGCCACGGCAGAAGGAACCATGACCCCAAATAAGGCGCCTCAGTCTTAGAACAAGAAGGATATGAAATTGTGGAGGGAAGAAGTGTGGAATCTTAATTCTTTGGACTTTAACGTTCAACAAAAGGGTATTTCATATTTATATTTTAATTTCTTTCTGAAATTCAGATTTCAGAAGATTCATATTCAGAATTGATATTCATATGCAGTTTAATTTTGTTGGCATTATATTATTTGGCATATTTTAACACTGTTCATGTTCATTTTGTGGGTTCTTCTGTTGAATTATATTGAAAAACATGTCTTGACATAATTCATGATGAGAAATAGATTAGAGAATGCATTTTTGGCTGAGAGTACCGTGTATCCTTGATATTAAATCAATTTATGTTCTGTTCTGAAGAGAGAGCAGCAGGATAGTCTGCTGGATGATCCAGGCAGCTCTCCCTGGGTTGCTTGGCAACCAGTTGGCTGAAGTCAGGGTCCTGCTTCCCCAGAGCAGAAGGGGGAGGGCAGATCAAGATGCTGCTGGTTCCAAGGTTTTAGAAGGAGAAAGAAAGGGCATTCTCTTTCATTCTTAATCCAGCTTTATTAGTAAAAGAACTGACATTTTATTTTGACCCTTGATTGAATCCTTATGTTACTCATCAGTTTTTAGTACTCATAGATGAGGAAATTGGCAGAAAGATGATTGATTAGGATCCTTCAATATACGTTGTTATGTTATTCTATCCTCTGTTATGATACTTCACACAACCCAATCTGCTTGTAGATGAATGGATGTACTTATGAAATATAGTTAAATAACGTAGTTTAAAGTTTTTCCTAACCTCAGCCTAATATGTATCAAGAAGCACCATAAATACTCTCCAACTGAATGGCAAGCTAAGCTTTATACTGAACACACAACAAAGAGAGTAATTCTCTATCGATCATCAGAGCCTTTTTACATAATTAAGATACTACACAAGAGAAATTATTATCTCCCTTCATCCCTTCAGTATTTTGAGCAATGACATTGCAACGTGTTCAAATGCCCAAGTCAGAAACAAAGAGCAGACTATTACATTTTCACTCTCTCACTCTACAGATTGTCCATTAAGTCCTACTACTCTATTTGTTAATTATTTTTCCTTTATTTATCATCCACTCTCCTTCCTAATTGTCACCACCTCTTTTCACACCCTGATCTCACCCAGATGGCCTCCTAAAGAGAATCCCAGCCACTACTCCAGTCTCAGTCCAGCCTCCTGTCCACACTGATTTATGTTACCCTTTAGAACACCATCTGATCTCCACAGTCTGTGGTATGAAGTAGAAACTTTATAGCATATCACACAAGGCCCTTCACAGGCTGACTCCTGCAGGCATTTCTAGTCACATGCCCATGTTTGAAGCTGAGCTCTGGTTTTCTCAAACACGCTGTGCTGTGAGTCCAGGAATGTTTGATAAACCACTACTAAATTCTTCAGTCTAGACTCCTCTCAAATAGTGTCTCTTCCACGACAGTGACTTGGAGAAGCTTTTCTCCTCTGTGTTTCTCTAGTGGTATGCACTTTTACTGATGGACTTCCTTCAGTGGAACACTTTAGAGACAGTAAGAAATACAGACTTCAGTTGATTTTCCAGAAACACTACTTACTTGCTGTGTGACATTGAGCCTCTTAAACTTCCTGGGCATTAGTTTCTTCCACTTCAGTCCTAAATAATAACACTTCCTTCATGTAGATTTTGGCAGGATTAGATAATATTCATTAAGCACCCATGATAATCCTTGTGCATAAAGATAAAACAGTAATTTGTAATCATTTTTTCCCCTTCCCTGTCATTCCCATCTAGGTTGTAAAGGTTCTTTGATGGAATTGTAAATCTTAAACACTTAGAACAATGCCTTCAAATAAGGGATAGTCAATAAGAGTTCAGTGAGCAATGAAATGTGTCATTAATAAATACATATGTACAGTGTCAATTAACATTATTAACTATCATGTTCAAAGAATTAATTTCTGTACATTCAGAAATACAAAGTAACTTAAAATTAGCCTCAGAGAAACAAGAAAGAATCATGTAAAATAATCATAAATGTCATATTATGACACACACCAAGTAAATTGTTCTGATCAGAACAGTCATGATCTCCAATTAAAACTGATTTTACAAGGAAATCATTATTAGTTTTCATCCCAGAACTAAGAATTCTACTGTTACAAAAGCCTACATTAAGAACTACTTATCAAGTCTTTCCATAATACGAATTATGACTGTAGAGAAAAAAAATTTTAAAGGAAGATTAAGACCAAGTTTATTTACATTCTCATGCACTTCGAGAGATATGCTTCTGTCTAAGCAAAAGTAAGTAGAAACTGGGATGTCTATCAAAATCTGAATGAGATGTTTTGTGAGAGGCTTTTCTGTTTTGCGGATTCTAATAACGTCACTTTCTCACCATCACATTTTATTTGAGATAGTGTTCTTGTCTCCTCCATCATCTTTGATGCTCCCATGTAATGATGAATCTAGTGGCAGGATATGATGAGCGTCTTGTCCTTAGGCGAGTATTTCTTTTACTACTCTCAGAGAAAGGTCTACGGCTTTAATGAAATCAGATAAGCACAGAGATTAGATGCCTAGTGTGGAGGCAGAAGCTAACGGGCAGGGACTGTGCTAGTCCAGGATGGTGAAGGGAGGGAAAACTGTGAAGAATGCTTTTCATTGGTTTTATGAAGAGTTATAAGATGAAACATGTGGAAAAAAATGAATGTAAGACTCTATTCAAAGAGTTTCCTTGGGGAAAGTACTAATGAGGATTACCTGAAACTAGAAACTTCAATTTAGAGATAGATACTGTAAAGAACAGCCTGCCAATCCAAAATGTAATTTAACAACACTCTGAATGGCCTTTTTACCTCGTCTATCTAAAAGTTGTTTATTTAGAAGGATCTTTATATTAAGAAAAACTTTTCTTTCATTGATATCTTTCTGTTGACTCTTCTCTAAACTGCAAAGCCACACATCGATGTCTGAGTTTATCTTACCGAGAATTGCTAAGGGCTGGCAACTGTATTTTATTATCCTAGTCTTATCTTTAATTATGTATTAGTTATTTTATTATCCTGCTCTTGTCTATTAATTATGTATCCTCTTGGGGAATGTTGTATTTGAAGTTATTGCTTGTTTCTTTGGAACTTCAAACACCATGTACTTTTTTTTTTTTGGCTTGAAAAAGTCTCTATGTTTGACATGAGTTTGTCTTCAAAGATTGCTTTACCTTTCAAACAAAGACAGGTCATTTATTATGAGGGTTCTGCTGCCCACATTATTCTCATATACTGAGATTTTCCTGTACACAGTGATTCAGTGCCACCAGTTTGCTGCCATTGCTTTTCTATCACAATGTATGATCACCATGAAGCACGCGTTGTAGATACTGCTTGTCAGAAGGATCTGGGCAGAAGGCAGGTTACGTGCCAATCTCCTGACTCTTCACCTACAGTTACCATAATCCAGTGCCAAAGAAGTGGGCTATCATTGCTGGAACATTCCTGACTTTAGCCTGTGCCCTAAGCAAACACATACCAAGCCCAAAGGGTAGGTTTTCCTAATGTTGGCCTTTTTTTCTCTCTTCTTTTTCCATAATTCTTATATTTGCAATGGACTTGCCATACCAAAAGTTCTCCCAGTAGAGGGCATTCGTGGACATCCTGGTCTTTGTCAACATTGGAGTTCAGGCCTCAGGCTACTTTCTCCTGATAGTGCTGTCCTCCGTGTCCATTGTCTGTTCCATCCTGAAGACCCACACCTCAGAGGGGACACAAAGCCTTTCAGACCCATGCCTCCCATTGCATTGAAGTCCTTTGTTTCTTTGGCCATGGTATTTTCATTAACTTGAGGCCAGGCTCCAAAGATGCAGTGGATGGAGTTGTGGCAGTTTTCTCTACTGTGCTGACACCCCTTATAAACTCTGTGGTATACACCCTGAGGAACAAGGAAGTGAAGAAAGCTCTGCTCAAGCTGAAAAGTGAGTCAGTGTTCACTCAGAGTAAATAACCAAGAAAGGCCAGATATGACTAGCTCCTCTTTTTATTTATAATTAAATTAAACCACCAACATGAATATTATAGTTTTAAAGAATATTTCAATTACACAATCTTAACTTTTTAATGAAAATTTAATGAACTTTTCATATTTTTCCTGTGTGATACTTGTCAGATCCCAGTTTAAGTAACCATTTAGTGGTGATAATCAAAGAGGAATGATAATGGCCTATTCCTATTTTTTATGATCTCTCAAGTAAATCATCAGAGAAGTGGTTTACTTCAATCCTCTAAGCAAATATTTTCCAGAATTGCAATCCAGTATAATACTCTTATATTTTATTCTGTGAAATTTAAATCAAAGCTTTATAAAAAGCTTCTTGTTCTCTTTGTAAACCTTCAAAAGTGTGTTGAAAAAATCACTTATAATATTCACAATCCATTAGATAATATAGTATCCATATAATGAAATTTTTACATTAGAAAATATCAGACCAAAAATGCTTGATTATCAAGAAGAATGGCTTTATCCACATTAATGAGCTAATGAAAACTGTATAGCTAATTTTTTTTAACTTTAAGCTTCAAGATTTTTGGAAGTAAACATCTGTCTACTTATGTGCTATATGCACTGTTAGTATACTGTATTTTGGCTGCTAATACAACTATCTAGATTTTCCTTCTGTGTTTACAGGACTCTCGGTGTTGTAAACGACCTACATGCAAAGCTTCTATTTTTTGGCAATTTTCAAATTATTTTTGTAAGTAAATAGGGGAAAAATATTAAATACATGAAAAATAAACAAATAACTTTAGAGACAAAAATATACCACCACAAAATATTGAAAGCATCTCTCAATTTTAAAACTATGTCCTAAGAAGTACTTCTTGTGTAATTATAAGCTTTCTGTAATTCACATTTGTGTAACTTAAAGTATAAAACAGATATGGATACCTTCTGAGGTGGTAAGCTTTGGAACATGAACCTCACAAGCAGTCATCCAAATATATACCTATATTGAAAGTATAAATTATTTTTTCTCAAAATAAATGTTTAATTTAGATGCCTCATGAATCATGTTAGTGCAATAAATGTCAACACAGCCTAGCATAACAAGAAGAGCAAAGAGAAAACTGGTAGGCAACCTCTAGAACCTGAGAGCACTTCTCACGATACTGGTTGACACAAGGTTGACATAAGGGAAGCTATATTGTAAGAAAAAAACCATATTATAACTTTGAATGACCTCTGATTAACTAACCCAGACATGCTCTGTAGATGTTATGGCCACTCTCAGCTGCTATAAGTTGATAACTTTGCTCTTATGAGTTCCTTAGGAATGTGATGATCCCCAGGCAGAGAGTCTATGCTGATGGCCATCATCAATGACAACTGAAAGATCAGGATACAGAGCATTGTTCTGGTCTCTACATATACAGTAAAACAAAAGACTGTAGGATCTGAGACTAGATGTCTGAGCCCACCTGGAGATCAGATGGAGGCCCCACTAGGATTTAGTCTATTTTTCAGGAGCTGTTAAAATTTGGGTTATCTATACTTCTTATCCTTCTAGTTGGACACTTGATTATAAAATGTGCTTTTAGATGTTCCAAAACTATTGAGCAAGATACAAAATTCTAATAATACCAAAGTGTCAACCTGAAGCCAGGAACAAGGGAATATTTCCAAATGAGTGCTAAATAGTTTCATTCCTCTAACAGAGATCTATGCCCCGATTCAGCAGGAAGTAGCTAGATTGGTCATCACCCCAAATCCCTCAAGAATGAGGAATGACCAAAGAGTAGGGAGGATTGAAACTGACAAACAGCCATTGATGATTAAGTAGCTAGGAACCAATTTTTTTTCCTTTTTGCAATTACTGATTATAGCTTTTAGCTATTTAACCCACCCATTGCTAACTTTGCTATTTGGGCAATATGCTTTCTGACTCCCACTAGGCTCCTATAGATTACATCTTCCTGTAGCCTGGGTCACCATGGTAATGGATGTGTGAGCTGTTTTTCAGGAATTAGAACTCTTTGTCCACTTCAGGCCAATTGAGACCACCAACTCATCAACTAGACCCACACAGATGTCCAGTAGTTGACCTTTTGATGTCGAGAGGCTAGAAACTCCATCCTCAGATCATACTAACACTGCCATTTTGTGAACATGAGTCCTATGAAGAGGCATGAAGTCTGACTATGCTTGTGTAGATCATCAATTACCTCACCTCTCCTCACCTCCCATCACCTTGCACCTCTATCCCATAAATATCCCTAAGTCCTTATTTTTGGGGAAGTGAATTTGAGGCTTCCTCATGTGGCTGCCTTGTGATTAAACTCTGTCTCAGCTGCAATCTCGTTGTCTCAGTGTTTGGCTTTCTGGGTAACGGGCAAAAGTGAACCTGGTTCAGTAACACTCAGACTCCTCAGACTTGTAGCAGCTGCCTTCCAGTGATGCTTTAGCAAGACATCCCTGTGTGCTAGCTTGGCATATCTTGCTCTATATAAGGTATGAAGTTACTCTTAGAAGAAACTCATACTAACTGTGAAAGCATGGCCTATATAAACCATGAAACAGTGAGCTACGTAAGAGGTTGATTATTAGTATTCACTCCAATAAACAAGACTGATATGACGTATTATATAACCTTACTCATTTGGCAAAGAAAAAACGAGGACAAGTTAGATAAAAATTACTTAGCCATTGAATTCACTTGGATTCTTTTCAGTTCCTTGTAACATCACACTATTTTATTTAACTCACAACAACACAAAGTGTTATGGGAAATTTACAGAGATTTAAAATATATAATAAACAATAGAACAGACAAGGTCTCTGCCTTCATGAAAGTCATCATTCTGGTGAGGAAAAGAAACGAGTGCAGATCATCCAGGATAGGTTGTGATAAGTGTAATGGCGCCCAAGGACAGACCTTTTATTAAATTTAACTTTGAATCATGCTGGAAGGTTCAAAATAGTGTAATAATATGTATTAAACAAAACCATGTTGAAAGTAATTTAGATTTTTAATGATGATCTATAAGGCTAATATCAGTGTCTTTTTTTAATTGAGAGTTTTATGGAAATAATTGTAGAATAACATAAAGTTGTAAGACGTAACACAGAGAGATCCCTGTATACCTTTGTCCAGGTTCCCCCAGTGGTAACAATTTGCAAAACTATAACAAAATATCACAACCAGGGTATTGACATTGATATAATCCATAGTTCATATTCAGATTTCCCCAGTTTTATTTGTATGTGTATATGTGTGTATGTGCGAAGTAGTACACAATTTTAAGACCTGTCTAGGCTTGTGTATCCACCACATCTGTCAAAATATTGAACAGTTCTAAGACTTTAAGAATCTCATATGTGATGATTTTTTAGCTAATATGAAGACTGACCACTGAATAAAGCTATCAAATAGTATTTTAATTGTTAGAGGGTTAGATAAAACAACTTTGAGTTATATTTGATTTTTTTGCTTACATTTTTATATTCTCTTTTTTCTCTTTCCTGCATATATCCACCTATTTATTCATTTAAAATGTAATATGTAATAAGTGGCTATTGTGAGCTATGTAACATGAGTACAAATATTGAACAGACATAGACCTCCTTTTTAAGGAGTTTATAGTCCCAATATAAAAGAAGCATGGGATGTATAGGAAGAGGAGTCAAAAAAATTAGAGGAATAATGAAGGAAACTTGTATACAACACTAGGAAGAAGGATTTTTATCTTGTACATTTCAGAGAGTTATTGAAATACAGATGATATAACAGTAATATGATAGCATTTATATTTAGAGATGTAAATAGTAGCAGTGTGGAAGACAGATGGGAGGAAGGTAAGCTTTAGGGCAGAAAGATCAACTACAGAGCTTCTTCAAATGCATATCACAAAAAGACACACATGAAAGTCAGAGTTCAGGTAGTAGCAGTGGGAATTGGGAGTGGTGCAATGGATGGCAAATAATAGCCAATTGTGTGAGGACGTAAAGTTGACGGAGAAGTTTAGTAGTCTTCGGCAGTTGTGATACAACTCAACAAAATAGAGAAAGTTATAAGGGTAAGTTCTTAAGGTAGAACAAAGAATCTAAGTAAGAAATGTTTGTGTTAAGTACCTGTGAACATTTCAGGTAAAAATTATGTGGTTGACAGTATAGCTTAGAAGACAAACCAGGAAAGCTTACAAAGTTAAGTAAGGAAGAGAACTGGTCATTAAATTCTTTGGTTTATCTGGCTGTTAAACATCCATTTCCTGAACATGGAGAAGGAAACTTCTCCTAATGAGTAGTATAAAACGGAACCAGATCAGTAGTGTAACAACCACCCTTCCTACATTCCCAAAACAAGCCCAAGAAAGATAGTCTTTGGGAGATATATACAAACCCGTTGTAGAATCTTAAAGAATTATTTCTCACAATATCACCCAAAGACATTTATTGAGATTGTAAATTTAAAGAGGCCCAGAGATAGAACTTATAAAAGCAGCTACTTCTTTATGGAATGGTCCTGGGAGATACCAAGGGATGAAAGTGCCAAAACTGTTGCTCCTCCAGTTCCCTAATGCTATTGAACTATTCCTTACAGAGATCACATATAAATAGGATCAAGAGTGCATTTGAAGACGATTAGAAGGAAATGACGTGTCAAAAGCACTAATTTGTAATAAAGAAGGGGCAGCCAGAGGGTTTAGGGGATGAAGGTAGTCATAGTAGGCACATTGTGTGCATTCTAGCCACAGAAATATACAACTTGTGTTGTCTAAATATAGTGATAAGTATTGTATTCAGAGCAATTAGAGTGTGCACAATTGGCATAAGTTTTGAGATATAGGTCAATGGAGAAGAATATGGAGTCCAGACCAACACATATCACTCAGGTGATTTTTTTTTTTTTAAAGATTTTAGTTTTTTCCTTTTTCTCCCCAAAGCCCCCAGGTACATAGTTGCATATTCTTAGTTGTGGGTCCTTCTAGTTGTGGCATGTGGGACGTTGC